TCAGAATGTTCAAACTCAGTAACTTAAATGAACATCAATTACTATTACGCTTTTTTCGATAGTATTCAGTATAATATATATACTTAATTAATTATCAATTTGTTATTTCCATATGCCATCAATTTGAATCGTAGTAATATGATTATTATTTTATGTTACTTCACAATTTTTTATTTTTTATTTTTTTTCTGAAAAATATAGGTGTATTATTAACCAAGAAAATTATAAACTAGTAAACAACTAGATTAGCTGAATCAGAACAATTCAGAAAGGTTGAATATTCGACACATTAAATTCGACAAAAACACAATACGAGAAATCACGACACACTAAAAGCTCCAACTTCTAGGCTTCAATCGACTAAAGCAAATTGTCGATTGTAGGGGAAGAGAAAATGAAGAATCAGCCATATTGAGAGATTCCTCAAAGTCCGAGCTCAGAAGCTATATTATAATCGTCGAAATTGTTGCCGGGAAGAGAAAATAAATATAGACAAAACGGAAAGATAGATAGTGAAAGAACTAAGAAGTTTGAAAGGAAATAAATAAATGTGGAACCTCTTCATGTACTTATCAATTTGCTTGTGTGAAGGAATGGTCGAAACCCAATCAAATTGCTTGCATGTTGCTTTTAAAAAGCAACTCTAACATATGAGTGTTGCTCTGACTTTGTAATAGTAAACGTTCATCAAGCAGATGCATGCATGTATTATGTGTGTGTATGCGTGTGCTTGTCTAGTTAGCCTTTGTTTTAGTTCTCGGTTCAGTTTTCGGTGTTCTTACATATCAAAGAACTGAAGTCGCTTTGTTTTTTTTATCTTTGTTTTCATTCAAACATTATTGTGATCAGCACTTAGGGATTAAGTGTTAGTTAGAAAGTCCACGAGACGTGGCCGGAGAAGTAATTGATAGAATCGTATGTAGTTGTTGCTAGGCTAGAAGGGAGTTCGAGTCGTGTAAGTCCAAACTATACAAGTGTGCACAAACGGTTTATCAATGAAAGACCTCTGAGGGGAAGTGGGATGCTTGCCTGAAGAATTTTTAAATCTTTGGTTTATTGCTTCCGCTATTCTAATTGTTTATTTGTGTTCTAACATCGTTGAGCGCACTCGTCGTAAAATACCTATGTTTCAATTAGCACCAGAGCAGTGTTCTATTTGTGTTCTCAACTTCACTTTGACCGGAATTATTGTTGTACAGAAACTACATTCACCACAAAAAAATTGAATAAATTTCACATTTCCTTGATTAACCAACATACTTTTTTTAAAATAGAAATTTCAAATAGATGGAATTCCAAATATTAATTTAAAATCATGACGTTGCATACAATTAATTTTATCATATATCGCGTGTTAGATGTTATTGATTTGATTGTGGAGACTCATTCTATTAAAATAAATAATATATATCTTTTTTTATTTTGCATTTCTTTTCTTGCTGCAACGAGATGTTAGATATAAATAATTATATTTTAAATAAATTTTTGGAAAAAATTTATAAGTAAAGCCTATTTTAAAAATAAAATAAAAATAAAAAGTATGGCCCAGCCAAAAAACACAAGCAGCTCAAATTATATGGCCCAGCTCATTCAAAAAATGGTTTACTAGTCTCTCTGGGACTCTCCAATCACACAGACAGATCGATCGAATCGATCATTCCCCAACTCTAGCCCTAGCCACCAATCCATCACTCCCCAAATCCTCCCATGGCTGATCTTCCCGCAGTCGGAGATTATAAGGTGCCCAATCTCCATTTGACCGGAATTAACGTGGAAGCCATCAAAGACGGAGATATCCCAACCGACCAGCAGATCGTTTCGGAGGCTAGGATTTTGAAGCAGTCGCGTGAGGCGATTCCATATCTAAACGCCGCTGATTCTGCAGGAGCAAATGCGGAGATGCAGTGGCCTCCACTTCACCCCCAACTCCTATTGATATGTCAAAATATCGATGCCGAGACCCAATTTCAGACCCAAATTCTGGAGGACATGACCCGATTTCAGACCCAAATTCGGGAGGGCATGACCCAACTTCAGATCCAACTTCAAAATCTCCCGACCCAACTTGAGGAGGGCATGCTAAATCAATTGAACATGAATGTTGACGCATTTGCCCAGATGGCTTCTCAAGGAGTAGGAAGTAGCTCAAGAAGTAGGAAAAAGCCTTCTCAAGGAGTAGGAAGTGGCTCAAGAAGTAGGAAAAAGCCTTCTCAAGGAGTAGGAAGTGGCTTAAGAAGAAGTGAAAGAATTAGGAAGTAGAGGTAATATTATGAGATATTTTTGTTGTGAATATATATTAAGTAAAACACTTACAACCATATCTCGGGCTTCACCAATCTAAGCTGAGAACTAGGATGATGGTGGTGCTAATCTTATTATGTGGAATCTCAGACTGAATGTCTTACTCAAGTGTCTTGCTGTGTGTTCAATTTGTAGCTTAGTTTTTTCTTCTTCTTCTTCTTCTTCTTCTTCTTCTTCTTCTTCTTCTTTTTCTTTTTCTTTGTTTTTTTTAAGTTGCTGTTTTGATTTTTGTACACATTAAGTTCCATATTTTGTGTTGAAAAATGACTATCCAGTATAGATCCTTCTTCATTAGATCCCTTTCTTTGGTTGATATTGAATATAGCTGAAGCTGAAGTTGGATGGCTGCCGTAGTGTTGGTTAGGTGCTCGAATTTCCCTTTACAAACTCCCATTTGTGACTGGCACTTCTGTGTTGATGTTTGCAATATGCTCCTGCAATTTCAGTTTGATTGTTTCTCTTAAGTGCTTTTTCCTTGTAGTCTGATATATTTTATTTATTTATTTATTTATTTATTTATTTTTTGGTGCTTCTTGCAGGGCTTTCAAACAGGCGACTTCAACTATATTCAAGAATTCTTATATAATTTGTCTTAATTTTCTTCAACTATGTTCAAGAATTCTTATATAATTTTAGTCTTAATTTTCTTAGTTTGACCTACAAGCTTTTGAGTAGTTGAATCTGTAGGAGAATTGAAAATGTTGCATCATGTGGTGCAAAGCAACAATCTATTTTAACATGTCGAGGCCTTTGCTTATTGTATACAAGGTTTATCCATTATCCTTGTTAGCTTGTTTATCCTGACTTCCTTGAATTGTGGGATTTCAATTATTTACTGATATAAAATTTATGTCAGTAAATTTTGTTCTGAGTTACCCTTAAAAACATCATATAACATTTGCCTCACTAAGAGTTTTAT